GAGAGCTGTGAGTTCAGTTTTATTTGGGGACTTAACTGAGGACTCTAGCCCTGGAGACAGCTGCTCTGACAACTCTGAGAAACTGCTTCTGCTTGGAAGAGATAAGGGGGGAGGTCAGCATGTATGTGATTTTTGGAGAAGGGATACCTGCAATCAAACACATATCTAGGTAAAAGGTCACTGCTAGCCACCAGGCACAGATAGCTTAATTATTTTAGTGCTTTTCTAAGTATGGGAAGATGCAAGAAATTGGGTTTATAAAATTTTCTCCTGAAAATTTCTGTCTGAAGTTCTGTTTTGTCAATTTTCCCAGAGAGCAGAGTTCCACATTCCTGAACTCCACCCTGAACTCCTTCCAGGGTGTGTTAGTGACTCAACAACTGCAGTGGCTAATGACTCAAACCTAGTATAGCCAGCTGGCTGGGGACGTTCTTTAGTTGGCATTCCTTTCAGAACAAGCACAGGTACCCCCACCTCCAGGAAGCCTTCTAGCCTTTGCCATTTGCAGTCTTCCCTGGGCTAGTGGTTTGTGCACAGTCCTCAGCTAGCATTTTCCATGGTCTGTTTCCATTTACGTGGGGCAGTGCTGGGCAGGAGATGCCTCATTAACCATTAGTTGAGGTAATTAGTAAGTGCCAGCGTGGGCACTGACAAATGGAAGGGAGCATGAGCTCTTGCCTGGGCCCGCAAACATCAGAGCCTCACTGCTTAAGTTAAGAAATATTTGCTGAGCAAGTACTGAGTGCCCAGCACTAAGGATGTGGTGTGAACAAAGACAATCCCTATACTTAGCATCCTGCTTACTGAATGCAGGGCCATGAGCAAGGAGGTCCAGTATAAGCAGACCCTCAGAGGAGCCCTGGGAAACTGAAAAATAGCCCCCTCCTCACTGGTGAGTGTGGCTTGATTTGGTGGGGAGTGGGCTATAAAATGCACCCCTTTGGTTCCTCCCTCTCCAGGCTTCACATGGTGGCTCTTTTTTTCTGGCTCTGCTGTTTTCACATCAAGACTTAGTGACGGTCAGGTGAGTGTATTTTGTTGAGACCATTGTTGAAAATGTGCAGATGCTCTCTCCAGAAAGGGTTTGCCACACCTACTGCAGTGTGGCAGCCACCAAGGACCAGGCAATGAAGAGGCTTCCTGGGAATGCAGTTGGTGATTCCACCCTCTGGGAAGGCCAGTTCGACTGTGATAAAGGCAGAGGACGTCTGTAACTGTGTGTCACCTGGGGATTTTGTTAAAATGCAGACTCTCAATCTGTAAGTCTGAGGTGGGACCTGAGAATCTGCATTTCAGCAACCTCCAGTTAAAGCAGTGCTGCTGACAGTGGGCCACACTTTGAGTAGAAGGGGTGTGGAAGACAGTTTATTCAGGTGCATTGGTTCAGGTGGGCCACAGATGGGCAGAAGGAGCCACCACACATCCCATCCCCACCCTCCACCATTACCCCAAATGTAGTGACTTGAAACACTCATTTATGATCTTACGGTTTTTGAAGTTTGAAATCGAAGATGAATCTTACAGGGCTAAAACCAAAGTATCGGCAGGGCAGGCTCCTTCTGGAGGCTTTAGGGGAGAATCTATTTCCTTGCCTTTTCCACCTTCTAGAGGCAGCCCACACTCCTTGGCTCGTGGCCCTGAATCACATCACCTTTTCTCCCCCTGCTTCCATCACCACATCTCCTTCTACCCTGTCTGACTTTACTGTGTCCCTCTTATGAAGACCCTCAGGATTACATTGTGCCTACCCGGATAATCCAGTAAAATTTCCCCCAAGCAAAATGCTTAATTTAATCACATCTGCAAAGTCCCCTTTGCCATATAAGGTAACATATTTCATAGGTTCCAGGTATTAGGATGTGGACACTTTGGAAAGTCATTTTTCAGCCCTACCACACTGTATTTTCTAAGGACAAGGACATTTTCTTACTTACTCATATTTCAATTACCAAAACCAGGAATTTTAACCCTGATACAATTCTATTATGTAATCTACAATTCACATTCAGTTTTTCCAACAACGTCCTTTACAGAATTCTATTTTCTGGTCCAGATCCAACCCAGGATCATGTGTTGCATGTAGTTGTGATGGCTTGTTTAGGCTCCTTTGATCTGGACTGGGGCCTCATCTTTTTTTTTTTTTTTTTTTTTAATATTTTGGCGCACCACGCAGCTTGCAGATCTCAGTTCCTGGACCAGGGATCAAACCCATGCCACAGCAGGGACAGCACAACACCAAATACTAACCACTAGGCCACCAGGGAACTCCTGGCCTCATCTTTTTTTGTCTTTCATGATCCTGACATTTTTAAGAGTACAGGCCAGTTGTAGACTGTCTCTCATTTTGGCTTTGTTTGATGTTTCCTCAATCAGATTGTAGTTTTGCATTTGGAGCAGGAATCTACAGAAATGTATTATGTCCTGCTAAGAAGTGCATCGCGTCAGGAGACACATGATGTTATTTTGTCCCTTTACTGGTGATGTTTACTTTGATCAATTGGTTAACATTGTGTCGGCCAGGTTTCACCACTGTAAAGTTTCCATGTTTACTTTGGAATTAATCCATAATTTGTGGTGAGAAACTTTGAGAATATATGTAAATATCCTATTCCTTGTCAAATATTCACCAAGTTTTAGTGCTCATTGATAGCTGCTTCAGTTATATTATGATGGTTTCAAAATGTTTCTTTAACTGCATTATTCTTTCCACATTTATTAGTTGGCATTCTACTTTAAGAAAGAAATTACCTGCTCTCCCATTCACTTGTTTATTCCTACATGGACTCATGGATTCTTATTTTATTCAATTGGTTATAATCCATTACAGTCATTATTAATTTTGGTGGCCAAATTGCCCCAGGTTTGGCTAGTAGCAGCCCCTTCAAGCTGGCTCCTGTGTCCCCAACCATTTTATTTTTTAGCATTTCCTTTCTGGGACAACAAAACATTCCAGAATTATTAGACATTTCCTGCCCTGATCTTGGAATTAGTCATTTCTCCAAGGAACCTTGATTCTTTTTAAGTGGTGAAGCCTATTTAAAAGCAAATTCTAATGGAATGTTACTCAGCCATAAAAAGAACAAAATTGAGTTATTTGCAGTGAGGTGGATGGACCTAGAGACTGTCATAGAGTGAAGTAAGTCAGAAAGAGAAAAACAAATACCGTATGCTAACACACATATATGGAATCCAAAAAAAAAAAGGTTCTGAAGAACCTAGGTGCAGGACAGGAATAAAGACGCAGACGTAGAGAATGGACTTGAGGACACGGGGCGGGGGAAGGGTAAGCTGGGATGAAGTGAGAGAGTGGCATGGACATATATACACTACTAAACGTAGAATAGCTAGCTAGTGGGAAGCAGCTGCATAGCACAGGGAGATCAGCTCATGCTTTGTGACCACCTGGAGGGGTGGAATAGGGAGGGTGGGAGGGAGACGCAAGAGGGAGGAGATATGGGGATATATGTATATGTATAGCTGATTCACTTTGTTATAAAGCAGAAACTAACACACCATTGTAAAGCGATTATACTCCAATAAAGATGTTAAAAATAAATAAATAAATAAATAAATAAAAGCAAATTCTGTGGGGAAGGGATGGATTGGGAGTTTGGGGTTAGCAGATGCAAACTGTTATATGTAGAATGGATAAACAACAAGGTCCTACTATATAGCACAGGGAACTATATTCAATATCCTGTGATAAACCGTAATGGAAAAGAACATAAAGAAGAACACATATATATGTATAACTGAATCACTTTGTCATACATCAGAAATTAACACAACATTGTAAATCAACTATGCCTCAATTTTTTTTAAAAAGCAAATTCTGTGTGTTCATTGCCACTGAGGTGTTTTTGCTTCTAGGCGTTTGCAGTGGAAAGAGCTGGGAATTTTTTTTTCTGTATTCGTATCTATCTATCTATCTACTTATCTTTCCCTTCTTAAACTGAAAAATGCCTCCAGAAAATGTTAGGAATTGATCTAAGCCTTTATTATTCACCTTATTATTAGCTCTTTTGGAGTTAAAATATGTCAGCTTCAGGAACATAGAGACGTTCAGGCATAGGCTGGGTACTAGGCCATTTCATGTCGCAATCTTCCACTGTAACAGCTAATATTTATTAAACATGTACTGCACGCCAAGCTATGTGCTTCACATGGATTTATTATCTCTTTTAATCCTCACAGTTATGAGATACATATTTTTGTTATTCTGTTCCACAGATCAGGAAACTGAGGCTCAGAGAGACTTAGTAAGTTGCTGAAGATCACACAGCTAATAAAAAGCAGAGCCAGGACTGGAACTTGGTCTGTCTGATCTCAAATTCTACATTCCTACTGCTACACTACACCTCCACTCCTAACTTATGGGTTAACTCAGGCTTCATTCCCTCCAATTCTTGACATCTGATGAAGAGTAAATCCAGGGGCTCAACTCAACCTAAAGTAGTTTCTTGCTTAAGCAATAGAAAATGGAATATTTTCTAGCTACAGTGCTGGGCATTCTCCGCCCCTTTCCTCCTCAGGGCTTCTCAGTGGTCCGTTGTGAAATAGATAAGCCTGCCTTATCTGCTTCACAGATGACTGTAGCTCCCAACCTCACAATAGTGCAGCTTGCTGGGCGCTCAGAGCCCCTCCTGGGCCCTCCTGCCTGCTGAGTTATTTCCTCCCTACTCAAAGGTAGAGTCGTGTAGTGGAGGCCTCAGCCTCTTTTAAGCACCAATCCACCAAGCTCCTCTCAGGCCCGATGAGCCCCGGGACCTATTTACTGACCTGGGAGAGCTGGAGAGCTTTAGAAAAAAGTCCATTTGAATGTAAGAGCTATTGGCAAATACTTATGTATGTATTGGTTCTTTGGGGGAAGGATGGGCTCCAGAAACATCTCATATTTGTCCTGAAATGAATCTGTGTTGGTTAGAATGTGTCTATTTTTTATGTCCTGTTAGATTTGTGAAATAGTGTGACCCTGTTTGACGTTTTCCAAACCCACCAGGATGGAAACCGAATACCTGAAGAGGTGCTTTGGAAATTGCCTGGCCCAGGCGCTGGCAGAAGTGGCAAAGGTTCAGCCCAGTGATCCCATAGAGTACCTGGCTCACTGGCTTTATCATTACAAGAAAACGGTGATGGCAAAAGAAAAGGTGTGTGCGCGCACAGGGTCGACTTGGGGAGGGCTTTCAGCTTTCCCAGAGGAATTTGAAATCCAAGGCACCACGCTGGAGCTGGCCTAGGGAGTGTCATGGTTTATTCCACTTTTGAGGATGGCTTAGGCCCAGATATCCCTGAAGTATAGGGAGTCTGAGGTCTGAAGAGAGAATCCAACTCAGAGGAGTTGTGGGGTTGGTGGGTTTGGAGATACTAGCAGGTTGAAGCTAGTTAGTTACAGGAGCAAAGTCAGGAGGCCTCAAGGGCCGGGGGCCTGTCCTGGGAGGGTCCCTGCTTCCGAGGACTGACCTTATTCTACTCTGTCATTATCGCCCCAGGATAGGCAAGAGAAGATCCAGCTGCAAGAAGAATATGAAAATAGCCTCAAAGAAACCAGAGTGACAGAAATGCTGATGCAAGAAGAGTGTGAGATTCAACAGAAGTGTGAAAAGTGTCATCCCATGGTGGGTACCAGGAAATCTGCAAGACAGCTCAACCACAGTGCAAAGTGCACTGAGGCTCCCAAAGCCTACTTTTTCTTCCATATTCATATGTTTGTATGTAAATCAATCTTACTGACAATCCTTGTCAATAAAATCCTAGTAATGAACAAAGAAAACGCTTAAAGGCAATTCCACTTTCGATGTCAGGGAATAAATTACATGTTACTGGTTTAAAAAATCAGATTTTAAGAAAAATCTAATGTGTCACTTGGAACATATATTTCCATACAAGATCCTCTGAATCCTTTTCAAAAATTACTCAATATTTTTCAGAAACCAAATATGGTTTCTAGTATATACTTCAGATATATTATTTAATTTATTATATACTATTTAAGTATTTAATTTAATATATGCTGTTTATTTACGTATCAAGCCACAGATGTCTCCTCTGTGTTGCTCTAATAGCGGTCATGAATTATTAACTTAGAATAGTTGGAAACAACTGTGTATTCACTCGTCTGACAAGCATATCTTTTATCCCGCACAATTTTTGCCAGTCTTCTGAAAAACACCTTGTGTCATTTTGTGCTTTCTGCAAAGTGCATGACACCTGGAGAGTGAATTCACTTATTGAACTTGATATCTGGCATCTTTTTAACTATCACTCTGTCCTGTGCATGAAGATCTTTAATGTAGTCCTATACAATTTACTAGCTTTTGCTAGTTTCAAAGCCAACTTTGATGAAGACATGAAAATATTAAGCTTACGTACATTTATATCAATATTCTCAGATTTCCTCATAATTAATAGTTTATATTTTTAAGTCTGGATGTTTTATAAATAAATCAAAAGAAAGATAGTTTCCTACTACATTCTGAAAATAGTAGTTGAACGAACTCGCCCTCAGGAACAGTTCATTCTTGGAACAGTTGTTGGGAGATGATAGAATTGAGATCATTAAGCAAAAGTTGTCATCGTCACCTTGCTGCCCACTCTAATCCTTTTCTAACACCATGCTTCACTGTTAATAGAAATATAAATATATAAGGCAGGGAAAGACTCCCAAAACTCTTACCCTGGTTTTATGATGCCTTTATTAAAGAACACTTTGCTCACATCAACCTTTTGAATTGTCCCTTTGTGTTACACTCAGGAGCTTTTATACCCTGAAGCAGTATTTCTTAGCAAGATTAGGATGTGTAAAAGGTTTGCTCTTCTTTTGCCAAGTGTGAGACAATCAGCGATTGTAAGGGAAGTTGAGAAATGAGAGCCAGCCTGATGCCTGCACTACGTGCAAGTTCTCAGCTTTAGGAAAGAGTTCATGGGCAAATTGTGGTTATGGAAATCGATTCCCTTTGTTAGAAGGAAATAAAGAGAACCCGACAGTGATGTAAAACAAAGCTTACTGCTTACTGGCAAGGGAGAGCCACATATTCCAAGAGCAAGTTGCTCTCCTAGTATGAATTGAAAGAGCTAGATAAAGGGCAAAGAGGTGGAGGTACATCAAATAAGATGAGATTCTAACTTCTGGTTTCTTGTTGGCTCAAGGTGAATAGCAAATTATTCCTTGCTACTGTCATCTTTAGATTTCATCGCCAGAGCTTTAAAACTTATCTGAAATAGCCCCAGGATAGGTTGCATAGGATTTCAGCAGGCCTGCTGATTTAGCTGATGGGCTTTTACGCCTATACTAAAAGCTTTGCAAGATTTTCCTTAATATCTTAAAACCATCATTGCTTTTAGTACCCCAGACTGAATACTGCTGTTCCGGTGGATGTGTCCAAAGGGGAGTAGAAACAGCACTATGTGTGGTAGACATCATACCTAATTATGGGAATCAAGAAGGGACTCACAGAGGAGATAACATTTGAGTCAGACCTAGAAGAAAGCTGGCAAAAGTTGCCCTTGTAGTGATTTCTCTTCATTAAGCAGAGGCAGTTTTGAGTAAGTAAACCATTATTCTGTTTCTAAGTCTGAAAGCAGTCCCTTTGATATAAAGATCTGAGCCATACAGGTGTTTTAGAAATAAGTTTTTATGGAAACAATACATAGATTTGCTGCATAGATTCATAGCACTTTGGAGTTAGAAGGTCTTAGAGATCTTGTGGGCAAGTACTCCACAGACCTCGCTGCAGTGCCCCACAGGGTCCACTGTTGAGTGGACAGTGGGCAAAGATGGGGGTAGAGATGGCCAGTAGAGCTCAAGCTCCAAGCTTCCTACCTCACCAGGGACTGCAGTTACATGGATGCTTGATATCATCTCATAGGTCACTGAGACTGCATTCATCTTTTCCATCTTTTTTCCTCTGTGCTCCAGTTTGGATAATTTCCATTGATCTGTTGTCTTCAAGTTAACTGATCCGTTCTCCTGCAATGTCCAATCCTATTTAGGAATTCAATGAATTTTTTTCATTTCAGATATTTTCTCAATTCTAGACTTTGTCTGGTTCCTTTCTATGATTTGCATTTTCTCTGCTGATACACCCTAACTTTTCACTCATTATATGGCCATTTTTCTCCTTTCAATTTTAAAAAATATTTATAATGACTGTTTTAAGTTCTTGTCTGCCAGTCTCATCATCTTTGTCATTTTGAGGTCTCTTTCTATTAAATACTTTTTCTCTGGATTGTGGTTCACATTTTCCGACTTCTTCACATGTCTAGTAATTATTACTTGTATGCTAAACATTGTAGATGATACTTTACAGGGCATCTAGATTGTGTAGTGTTCCTTTAAAAGGTGTTGAATTTTGTTCTGTCAGGCAGTTAAATTGTTGGTGAGTTATCTTGATCCAATTAGATTTGTTTCATGCTTTGCTGGATTAGGTCTTTTTCAGTTTTGTTCAGTCTTGGGCATGAAAATGGCAATCTTGTATTCTTGCCATGCCCAGTATGTTTAGTCTCTGCTAATGACTTTTTTCTCTTCTGTTTTCTATTTAGCCACTGATATCTGTAGCGAGTTCCACAAAGAAGACCATGTTCATGCAGGAGAACACAAAACCCCTTGAGAAGGAAGCCTTGAAGCAGGAACCCCTGCCAGGAACTTCCAGCATGATTCCAGGAATGC